ATTCAAAAGTTGTTTGTCAAACATCCTGTCAGAACAGTCATTTTCAGTATTACAGATTCCTGTACTGTTTGTTGTGCTAAGATTTGCCTGTGCTTTGGAACCTTCATAGAACACACTTTCTTTTGGAATGTATTTGATTGGTAAGAAAGTTTAAACATTTTCACCTCAATGTAGAAATACAGTGGTTTTGGTTTTTTTTTTTCTTTTAGTGCTGCCAAAATAAAATACTCATTTTTGCCTAAAAAGGTTCTTAATCCTTTTGCAGAATAAGTTTTGTTTACTCTTTACACCAAAATTTAGTAAACACAGTCTCAAAGTTTTGAAAGTTAACATTACATCTTAATGTTTACTATCTATATATTGTATAATTGAGTTTGAAATAAAACCTAGCTCATGACAATGCATTCCTTTTGGAAGAAACTGTTTGGCTTTCAAATTAGCCAGGCATAGATAATGAACAATAAAAAGCTGCTGTGTCAGGGAAATACAGCCTAAATTGTTTTTGAAAGCCCGAAATGATACAAAGTTCAGTCACGCCAAAGTGAAACACTTTCTAGTGCCAGCTTTAACTGAAATCATACTTTTCAAATGGATACAGTAAATAATAGGAAACAGGCTTAAAATTTACTCAATGTTTAATGTAGTTTATAGTTTTCCTTAACATATAATTGCATTCAACCAAAAATTACTTATAAAAAACTAATTTCTGTGTAAAGCTCCTACAATTAGTCATTTATTTAAACCTAAGAAAACCATTAAATGTATACTATCAAAGTTATTGTATCAATTTAAGATTCATAGTGGTTGAAAATCACATGTGCATCTAAGGTGATGCAAATAGTTCTCTTGCTTTATGAGCTACCTTTATACTACCCTCACAGCCCAATCTGGTGCCAGATTTTATCTGGGAGTTACAATTGTAAATCAGAATCAGCAGGCTTTTTACCAGTTTTTGGTACTCTGACCTGACATCACCAGTTCAAAGGACTAAAGAAATTAGGTGATTTCCAGGACTGAGCTAAGAAGGTCAGAGTCCAAATTAGTAACTGTTTTTTGGAACGAAAATAGATCAGCTATGCATGGCCTTGGATTTGGTGATTAGATCAACAAATATTTTCCTTTCTGCATTTTCTTTCATGTTGTCCTAAGTAAGAATTTTTGTGAGAAAAAAAACCTCTTAGGATTTTCTCTTTGCCTCACATTTGAGGTATTATAAAAGAAAATGATTATTTAGGAAGCTGAAGTGGGAGGATCACTTGAGTCCAGGAGTTTGA